CCCCTACCTCCATCACTTCTTCTCAAAGACTACTCTGCATTTTTGGGATTATAACCGAGACCGTGTGGATGTAGTGACTAGCAAGAATCACTGACAATATGTTGCAAATAAAACCAGACTGAGTTGGGTTTTGATCAGTCAAAAGCTTGGTTCACTCAAGCGATAAGACGACATGATTAACATAACACTTTATTAAGTGGATCTTGCAGACCGTTCTTGATTGAAAATTGGCTTATCAAGAAAAGTGTTACTGAGACAATCGGCAAAATAAAGTAACTATCAGGTTTGTTGCGTTTATTTAGCCTAACACAAAAAAGAAAAAAAACGGACCGTTTAATTATTACCTCTTGTCTTGACCCAACGGCGTAAAGCTACATAACAAGAACACACGCTGACAAGCACAAAAGCTGAGTGTTTCCAAAGATTTGAATATTAATCATGCAGCACTTAAATGAACCCCTGAGGCAAAGTTTTTGCTGTATCCACAGCAACATTTTTGTTCAGTAGTTGTTTTCATTGTTGCTTTTGTTTTGCTTATCTTAAAACATATCCGACGCAATGCCAAATAAACTCCTTTGGTTGAGAACTGTGAGGGCAAATGTATTATTTATTTTTTTTATTTTTTGACTGAAATTCCAAGGTCGAAGAGACTTCTAAGGTCGTGTGTTTATATATGTTTAAAACTTAACCCCGATATCTACATGGGCATGTAGGCTCCAAAGAGTTCAGTGTTCCGCTCAGTGGACGAACCAATCGCGTGCCACATAATTGGTCTCCCGCCCCGATCTCATTCTGTCGCACTTTATTTTCGTGGCAACCGTTTCCACAGCACCCTATAGTCAACAATTTTTAGTACATATATGTAAGTTTTTCAAGGGTCTGTTACTGTTGCTCCAGTGAAAGGCGTTTGCAAAGAAATGGGTTTCCTTGGGCGACATCAAGTTCTTTCAGCTGCCACCGTTTTTGGTAAGTATATGCCATATTTAATGCACATATCTAGAACTTAAAGACAAATTATTGGTGTGATAGAAGCCATGATATAAACCGCGCTGTTTTCGATACATTTGAACATAGTCAGTTTCTTTTTTGTTTGTCAAATCCCAGTTCTTCATTTGGGATTTTCGAATTGCTGCAGTGAAGAATTTGTATCCATTTTTATTCAAACAGAAGCAACATTGTGTAATTTTTTATTCAGCTGGTTAGAGGCGAATTCATAATATACATTTGAAATATTATTATTATTGTGTTGTACAGATAATCTAGTCGTTATTCTGTTACCTTTCGATTGAATGTTTGCATTTAAGTGGTCGATGCAAACGGGGTCGTTGCCACAACAATGTGCCCACGAAGATATAGTGTATTAAGGGGACATTGAAAGCAAAACTAAGTAAATAATCGACCCCTTTCGGAAAATCGGTTAGATCTAAGCGCCGTTCAGCTAAACACAGTAAACAAAAAATAGATTGCAATGATTATTTCTATTTCTGATGGCGACAGGACCGAAAGGGAACCTTATTCGATTTGTAAAATCTTATATATCTTCAGAAATTACCAAATTATTTGGCCCTGCATTCGGGTGTAGTTCAGTTCGAGGCGTCGCTGACACCCAAGCTAAAATCCGCTTTAAGTCCCCTCTGTTTTTCCAGACCCATTAAGCTTATAAAGAATAACTTTAGAAGAAAGAACTGATGGTATATGTTAAGCTTAGTAAAGTATGAAAATTAAGTATAATCTAAGACAATGTGACATCGAAGAAGATTGCCAATGCGCTAGTTCTCTGGGCGGGAGTCAAGCATGACAGCTTTCCACGCATTTGCAAAATTTGAGAAATTGGCGCTAAACGTTACGTTGAACCGGTCAGTAATTATCCATTTAAAATATGTTTTTCTAGTTTTATCCATATTCTATTCTGATCGAATCTTTTTGCAGTGCTGGTGCTTTACCTTGGACAAGGAGCTTGTGATTCAAGTAAGTTCTAAATTAAACCCACTATGCCCTCATGTGACTTCGGCTCCACTGCACACCATAATTAAGATAATGACCTCGAGAATGTTATGAGATGATAGTTGATAAGGAGTGAAGAGCGAATCAACTATCACCTCATAATACAAATCTTGAGCAAATAATCCATTTTTTATTGAATTGTAGCTACATTTTCTTCGAATAACGGCTTCCAATCATCTTTCTGCGTACTACAGTGAAAGTCAGAAAACCGTAGACACCTAAAATATGTCAGGGATGTTTACTGCGGCCAATCACGAGCGAGATCTTCAACCGCAGAAGCCACAGAAAACAGATGAGTTCATTTCCATCGGTCACAGAACACATTTAATGTTTTTCCATCGGTCACAGAACACATTGGTTTCTCAAAAGAAAACGATCCAAATCAGTGCCTTCATTATTTCATTTCTTTATATTTATAACTAGGAAAAGCGACGAGTGATACTGATGAAAATGGAATGAACCAATGTTCACAAAATGGCTGATTGTGTACGATAGCTCAGACAGTCAGTAAGATTGCAGCATTTTCATAAGTCACGTGCAAGAAGAAAATCCGCCAATATATGTTATAGTAATGCTGCTTTTTAAGCCCAGTTGGTTCATAGTTCTGAGAGGTCTGTAGCATAAAGAATAGCATCCCATCCAGGGGGGAGTAGAAATACTCCTAGTCGCTCCATGCTACAGAAACCAGGATAAGCACCAGCCTATTGGGCCACTTGAATTCTCAGTTTTTCTCAAAGAACGAAAACAGGAACACGGCAAGAATAAAAACGATATCAGCCTATTGATATGTAATAATCTAGATTTAGTGGAAGCTAAAACTAACGAGGAAACGGAGAAATAAGTAGCAAAACTCAATGCGTAAATCATTGTCACCGTCAAGATATCCTTTGTTCATTTAAACTTGATGAAAAATGAAGGAATTCGAGAACAAGAGATGAAGACTGCCGAAGATTTCCGACGTTAGATCCAAAACTTACGAAGAATATATCTTGAGATATTTTGAGCTTTTCGTAAGATTCCCGAAAGGAATCGGAAAATTCCCTGTGGTTCTGAACTGACATTATTCAGTCTATTTATACTTAATCGTACATTTTTGGTACACACGCTACGACGGCATATTAGACGAGTTTGGTTGAGCCATATACCCATAGCGAGACCAAACGTGCCTGATACGCCCCGAAGCGTACCAAAAAGGTACGATTACATATTTACCGTACCCAGATTCGGTCAAGTGAGCATGATATCGTAGCCATATTAGGTCAGTGACTTGATATCGCAGGATATCTGGATAGTGGACACGGCTTCTGATTGGGTAATTGCGAATTTGGGTATGGTGGATATGGGATATCATGTAAATATGGGAAATTTTATTAATGTACTTTCTAAGCAGCTAGAAAACATTTCTCGTCACCTATACTATGCAATTCTTTTTAGCGGAGCTTCGGCTGAGCATCATAACTATAGGAAGAAAACCACTGCATACATAGAAAAAGAAAACCGTGCAACCCTTTTTTCATGGTCAACATGGCTAGCGGCATGGATCGACGAACGACGATGACGACGAAGTCGCGCAACATGGCGGCCATACTACAGCTGATAGGTCGAGCAATTAATACAGCCTTGATTTACAGCCTACATCTTTGATATTGGACAGTTATGTTATGGTCAATTGACACCTGTCAAAACAAGGTATCCGCTGACCAGTATCGTGTGACCATATCGCGGGCTCAGGTCGAGAGCTCATCGAGGTCTTGTGGGTTTTTTTTTACGTTGACTGCAGGTGCTGGTTTTTATTGGATCGCAGGCTCAAGGCGGGTTAATTTATTGTAATCAGGAGCTCGCCTTTTAGGCTTGGTTATATTAAATCTGTATATTATATATTCCTGAACTTCACGCGTAGATTAAATGATTTGTTTGTTTGTTTGTTTGTTAGTTTTATTCCTAGAGTGGATATAGAAGAGTGTAAATCTTGTGAGTGCGACTATGTGCAGGCCTTCAACGATTACAATTTACTGCCATTTGCTGGCAAACTTTGCGGAAGATATTCTGAGCAATATTTAGAACATCGACTCAATGAAGTCGGGTTACCACTGGCCTCTGCTGTAGAAGGAACGACACTGTACGTTCGTTTTGTCTCGGATGACAACGTTCATCTCAAGGGATTCAATGCCAGCATCATCCCTGGCTCCGATAATGGTGAGTTATGATTTTAATTTATAATGCTAATAGGACGAGTGATCAACAAAATCGGACACCCACAAAGACAGACAGAATTAGACGACACGATGTCCTTTTCAGCCTAAAATCGGCAGAAGAAAAAGAATATTCAATCTCTGCCGGAAAAAGACAATATTCTTATAAAAAAACAACAACAACAACAAGA